TTTTAGGTCTTAATTTTAGACGCATGTATTTAGGACTTTTTCAGACTTTTTAAGGATGCACAAAAACCTCTGAATGATTAAAACTGGAGTCCAAATGTCCAACAAAAACAACAAAAAAAGACCTTAAGAAAGCAGGAAAAACTATTGATTTAAACCACCTTGAAAAGTTACAAGCCAGCAACTCAAAAACAGAGACGTACCTGCTCTGTATCAGAAGTATTTCGGTTCCTTCAGGTGGAGAAGGAGCCGAGGCGACAGGTGGAGAGATGGATGCCATCCACGCCTCTAGCTGGTTTTAATTTTAGCAGAACCAATGAATCTAGTGAGTCCTAAGGCACGGGATCTGAAACAGCAGTCAGCTTTTCAGGATATTTGTTTAAAAATACAACTTCGGCAAAAGCCTTCAGTCACCAAACTGTGTTTAAGACTTTTAATAAAAGGCAGGAAGAGAAACTTCACAGGGACAAAAAGAGGATCAACTCTGACTACCCATATGGAATTGGGAAAACCGAGCCTATTTGTTTATTGGCATCAAGTTTATTTGCAGAGCACATTTCAAAGTGCTTTACCTCATAAAAACTTCATATAATCCTCTATTATGAAACAAACAAACATATTTTGTCAAATGTAGGATTTTCAAGATCATCAAGCAAGTATGCTTCAAATATGTTGACCAATGTTCCAGTTACAGTGAATAAAACTCTAAACAGATGAGTTTAGGTCTTGATTTAGAGGAAATCAGCTTTTCAGCTGTTTTTCAGTTTTCTGGAAGTTTGTTGCAAATTTGTGATCCAACCGATGTATTCAAGCATTACTTATTTATAACTCTACAGCAAGTGTCTTATTGGCCTACTGTTTAGGTAAAGACAACAGGCGATGATATTTAGGCATAAAGAAGCTAGCTAGCATTGCTTATTAGCGCCTAGTTATCGTTTTGAGTCACAGAACGCAATGAAGATCTCTGAGTCCTACTCAAACTTTTGCCTGACAAATAAGACCTGCGAGAAAAAAACTACATAACATGAGATTCAATAGTCTTGTCACGACATTTAAAACCAAAAATAAAAGTATTTAAGATCAACTTTAAAGAATTTAAGACTTTTTCAGACTTAAGTATGAAGGATAACACACCTTGACCTTTAATATCTTTATTTTCTACCTGAAAACAAACCAGATCATTACCAACTTTAAGTTAATGCATTCAAGTTTTCCAAGTTTTCGTTGAACCGTAGATTCCTAGTATTCACAGGGTTTAGGAACTACAGCCTGTAAATACCTGAAATCTGCAAATACTTGAAAAGATTCATCTAAAAGCGCTTCCAACTGCCTATTTTAATGGTTCAAACACCAAATATACATGATTGAAAGCTGTGTTAGCATTGTCACAGAAGCCAACATCTACAGTCTTAATCCTGACTGTCGTTTTTGGGGATTCAATCAAACAGCACCAAGGAAAATTAATATTTGTTTTATCCAGACAAATAACATTTTCCCATTTCTGGACTCCACCTCAAAGCATTTTAACTCTCAGAAAGTCGACAACAAATGTAGTTATTTTTACCTGAATCTTTTTGTTTTGTAAGAGTCAAAACTTGAAAACTTAAAAACTCCTGGTTTTGTCGCTGCAGGAAACCGAGATGTTCAGAAAGCAGGACATATGTTCGACGCAGGATAAAGACGTCCCTGAAATGAGCCAAAATCCAGCTAAACACACTTAAAGTGGAAACAGCTGATGGAACAGCTGGCGTCTGACAACAAGGAGTTTCTCTCCACAGACGACACGCAGCCACCCATCAGTCTATCCCATCTCTGCTGGAAACACAACAATCCGCCACCACATTGAAAACATTAGACTAACTTATTTTCCCAACAACTTCCAATGTTCTGCTGGAGAAGCCGTGTGAATTTTCCCAATCCATTTCTTTGAATGCATCCTGTTGGGAGGATAATCCATGAACTCATGCCAGAGAGTAGCCAGCCCGAGGCGCTGAGTGGGTCTCCAAGCCCTGCAGACGGCCATCTGACGAGGATACTCGAGAAAAACGCAGATCTAAGATGGCAGCAAGCCAAAACTCACAAAGAATTCAATCATTCTAAAAGAGGAAACCTTCACAAATAAGCCAACATCTAGATAAAATCCAATATTTAATCATCTTTTGAAACACTGATGCTATATTTTCCAGCTTTTCATTCTCTATATTTCCACCAGTGAATGGCTGATGAACCAACAGACCTAAATGACAATCATGATTGTACAAAATCATGCAAGAAAGTTTATTTTATTATCATATGAAGCTGCAGCGTAGCGTATCTAGCTATCTATCTCATTAGCTCTATCTAGATAAATATGTGAAGAAATACGTCTCACTATTTGGCAAGAACAGGTAGATTTTATCTCCTTTTTACCCTTAATCAATGCATAATAAACAGTAATAATGATTTATAAAGTTTACAGATGCATTAATAACATGGCTATGAGCCATTTTAAAATGCATCTTTAAGCCTGTTAATTTTAAACAGACAATAACTCTGTTACTTCTGAGTTTGATAAATGAACTGTTGAGTTTATTTTGACTGTCGTGTTTGATATTACAGCGTATGCTGATGATAATGTTGTATGTTGTGATGTGCAGCAGCCAGAGAAGGTTGTGATGAGGCCCTGAAGACGAGGCGTCTGTTTACTGATGGGATTGGGTCTGGAGGAACAGGAGAAGAGCCTATTTACTTCTCAGAACACCAGGAGGGGAATGTAAAGAGAAAGACAAACACAGGACTGAACAGGCTAATCTAATAATTAGTATTCATAGACCTGGATTGTTCTCTCTCTTCCTACATTTACATACGACTAGGAACACAGGGGGGAAGGAATTTACACAAAGCTGATTGAATTTCCTCATTAAATGTAAGAGGTGCAGCACTAAAACAGTATTCAGTATGAAAAAACTGGAGCAGCAGATCATATACAGCCAGAATCTGCACTGTGAGCAAGTCTGCAATACTGAAATCACAAAGGATTAAAAGTGATGGGCTGCGTTCACGTCAGCGTTGTTTAGCCTGTTTTAACTGAACTCAAGTTTGTTTGGGTAGGTGTGAATTCTCGCTTCCTTTTCTAAACAAATTAATTATAAATGACAGAGTATATTTTTTAAGTGGCTTTTATTTCAATAATTCCTTCTAAGAATTGTACAATGGCATATCAGAGCAAAGTTACACAATTATTTATTAAATTATGAGGTGATAGTAATAATTTTAGCATAATAAAGGCACAAATTGACCAGAAAATGTCTAAAAATTACAAGAAAGAAGTTCATACAGGTTAAGATCTGATGCAACAGCTCAGTTCGTGCATCTCTTTCTTTGAAATAGACAAAGTCGTTTCAAGGTCCTGCTCTGGATAATACTTTGATGCCGATCTGTTAAAAAACTAAATGTTTTCTTACTTGTAAAACCAACACCAAAGCATAACTTGACAAAATTCTCAACATTCTTCATTAAACTTGTTATTTTTTATGGATTTCTCATAAAATCACTGTTTTTTCCCCCTAATATTACGACTTTATTCTGGTAATATTAATATTTTATCCTCACATTATTTTGACTTTATTGTCATATGACTATTACTATGATTACTGTAAATTATGACTTTATTTTAGAAATTAAACATTTAAAAAATCTTAGTCTGGCCCTAATATTCCATCATAGAGTTAACCAATGTGTCCAAATAAATAGAAGGTGTGAAACACGCTTGTTTAATAAAAACGGTCAAAATTGGGCGTGCCCAAAGAGCGCATAGGATAAAAAAATGTAAGATTTTCCAAACATTAAATCTTCAAAAACCAAAAATATGACTAATCGATAAAACCAAAAAACAAATAAATATATATTTTGCTTTTTTAAATTTATTTATATTGCCTATTGAAAGTAAAAAGGAAGTAAAGTCCATTTTTATGTTCATAAAGCTGGTAAATTACTGTTTCTGTCTTAGGAACGCAGTGGGATCATCAGGGTGAAGGACTGAATAAAATATGCAATTTTTATAATAGTTCACTTGTTTTCTGAAAAGCCTAAGAAAGGATTTTGGGATGTTTACGTTTAGCAGGTGATGAAAGATGTTTTTACAGGTAAGTGTCTCTTCAATGAGGATCTTGCCGGAGGATTTACCTTCAGCACATGGTTGTGGTTTAACACCTTTACGTAACACCCAGACAACAAAAGCAAATGCTTAAAGACATGTTCATTCAACAACTACAATTCAATACCAGAAATTACAGCCAAAAAAAGAAAAATCTGACTGTTACAAACAACAGGAAAAACTGAGACCAAACTTGTGAAGAGTGTTTTGTTGTTTCCTTATCAGCAGCTGAGGCCAAGCTGCCTTTTTCACACACGAATAGTATCTTATCATCAGAATGCAACAGCACTAGACTGACACCTCTGATGCACAAATCCCCAAGCTGCAAGCAACTCCAGCAATACTTACAACAAAGATCTGCTGCAAGATGTCTGTTTGCAGGGATGCAACTACCGATTCTGGGTAGAACATATACATACAGATATGATTTATAAATCCTAAATTTAAAAATGTATGTCTTTTGTTTAGTTTTGTGTTAATTACTGCTTTGAGTGTGTTGTTCTTTCAGCAAATAGACTTTTTTGAGTTTGTATACTCCAGTTAAATATTCATCAATTACTACGTTAGTTGACAATGATTTCTATAAGTGATTAATCGTGATTAATCGTTTAGCTGTGTCACCATGTAAAAGCTGACAGTTACAAACCCTGCTGCACTCATTAGCACCATAGTGTTGACGATTGGTTAGATGCATAAACAAAATATAAATATATGATAAAATTGACATTTAGAGGCATGCATAGACGGATGGCTCTAAGTAGCGGCCAATTTGGCTGCTAATCTAAAGGGCAAGGCTGCTGGCGGCGGGGAAACGAGATCAATCCTGTGTGTGTCTGTGCTGTGTGTGTGCCTGGGTTGCACTTCTCACCGAATAGATTGCTGGAGTGGCCCTGCTTGGAGACCGGCCGGAGCTCATTGGAACCCCAGGCGTAGCGCCGGTAGCTGTCCCAGGCGTGCTTCATCATCTGACAGGTGGGAAAGAAAAGGAGCAGGAGGAGGGGAAAAAAGAGAAATGTTAACCTGGAGAGGAAATACTGAGCTGCAACAACTGATTCATTTTAATATGAAGTGTTAACACATCCACAAATCCATGACTCACATCTCTATTAACAATAGATCAAATGTTTAAAAATGCAGACTTAATTCAGCACCACTGACGCTCTTTCAGTTTATGCTTTCATGAACTCTATTACTTTTTTTTTCAGGTGAAACATGAGAATTCTCCTTTTCTCATGAATAAACTCTAAACATAACATCTTTTATCAAACTACAAGCATGCAGCACCAATAAATTAATCATTATAAGCCTGGCTAATATGTCACATTAAAACCCGACTACAAACAGAAGTTTCATTTACTCATGTTTTAATATAACTATTAAAACTTGACATTTACAGACACTTTGCTATAAAAAATCTTCATATTCTGAAAGCAAAATAGATTTTATGTTATTAGAAAAATCTGTCCCAAAGTTTGAATATCTAGTTTTATGCTGCCTTCATATTTCTACTGAGGCTGAAACCATTAATTGCATTAGTCACGATTAATCGATTATTGCATTAACTGTCAACTACTTTTGTGATTTAATAGTCATTAACTGGAGAATGCCTAAAAAATTGAACAATTTTGGATGAATAACACTGTCAGAGGAGTAATTTAACCCAAATTGTACAAAATCTAAATATTTTGCATTTAAGATAAAAAAAAAACAAAAAAACAACTTTGTAAATATGTTCTACCTACAATTCTTCAAGTAGCAGTTTTAGCTTCACCTGGTTCAAATTACGTTAAAAATGTATTAAAAAATGTCTAAGGTAACACATTGAGGTCCATTAGTCTGCCATAATAACAGTGTGGTTGTCGGTAGAGTGCTCTATAACTAGCATTGATTGATCATCAGAATAATCAATTCATTAATCCATGACTAATCTGCTCTTTTCCAATGTGAACACAACTTTCCAACAGAGAATCTCGACACTCGTTTCAGGCGAAGCCATCGACGGATGGGTCCACCGTGGAAATCTGGGTTAGCCAACGTCGACCCAAAGCCCTCTAGAACCTGCATCCAGATTAGACCTCCAAATCCTTTTATCCTCCACCTTCTGACAGATCCGTTCACTCACAGTTCACCGCTCAGCTGCTGCTTTAATAAACACACGTTACTGGAAGTGGAACTTCTGCCTCCAATGTTATCTCGGGAAACCCGACCGCGGTTCTATACATGTTCAGAAACAAGCTGCACTCGGTTCCTGTTGCTACAGTCCGTCCAGGTGTGAGAGCATGATGTGCGTTCAGCTGCACTTCTTCCCATTACAGCTGCTGACTCAGTATTAAGTTCCTGTTTGAAGCATGGACACATGCTGAGAACAGCAATAATTAGAGGCAATTATTTGTAATGACTGGTACAAATGGTCGCAGCAGGCAGTAAACCAGTAGGTCAACAAGTCTGCTAGTTGGCGTAACGTGTTGCCTGGGAAACTAAAGTTATAATAGTGAGCCAGTAAAGCTGTCAAACAACAGCAAAGCCATTTAGAAAGTCACTCAAGCAGGAAAATACGCTCTCTGAACCGTTATGCCGCCAACTCCATATACACACAGAGAAGCTTAAAGTCGACAGAAAATCAAATGAAAGCCCTTTTTTGACCTTTCATGATATTTTTATAGCTGCAGAGACCAAAGCCATCAATCATCAGGATCCTTACACATTTAAGCTGAGGTCCAGGCAAACTAGGATATTTTGATCACTCCAGCTGTGGATGCCAAAGCTGAAGTTAAAATCCTCACAGGCATTTATGCTATCACAACATCTGCTTAAAAATGACACTCTAATCATGGAGAGATGAGTAACGAGGATAAATTCGTGGAAATCATGAATAACACCATCAAATACGCAGATTTTTTGTGCCCTCATTGTGTTTGCAGCTGTGCACTCAGGTTTATTAAAAGCAAACACTTTGGTGAAACGGCTCCGGCGACCATGAGAGTGGAGGACGAGCTTCAGCTGCTTCGACACGCGTCTCACTGCAACATGGAGGGGAAACTCATTTATTCAGATAGTTAGATAACTACTAATTTCAAACATACTTTCAGTTTGATTCCTTCTTTAGTTTAGTAATGAAAATAATTAAAACACCATTTAAAAAATTATATATTTTTTAATTCTAATAAATTAAAAATGACTAAATAAAATCACTCATTTCAAATATACTGTCAGTTTAGCTATTTTAGTTTCTATTTAATTGAAAATAGAAATAAAAAAAATAAAAACACTGATTTTCATATAAAATATTAAATAACTACACAAAATACTTTAATAATTTTTCAAATCTTTTTTTAATTAATAAAAAATAAGAGCTAATTACCTGAATGTTGACCTTAAATAAAAAGATTTACATTTATGCATTTTAATATTTTTAGATTTGTTTTCACCTCTAACAAACCTGTGTGTTTTCTAAGATACATAAAAGTGGAAAACATTTGAAAATTATGGTCTATTTTTCAAAACTTAAAACACCTGTAATCCTAACCAAGAATATATTGTGACTATATGCATCTGTAAGTCACTTTAAAACTACCAAGACTTAATGAGGACTTTCAGTGTATTTGGCTGCAGACAGAAGGAAAAACAAGCTGTGTTTACATTGTTGTGCTCCAGTGGTTTACGGCGAATAGATGCACTGCAGTTACATCATGAGGGCATTCCCTCCAGCTCCAGGAAGTGAACTGACACGGGTTAATCCTGCTAAATACGCTCCATCTCTGCTATTTTAAACTGTTCTCAGAAGCAGGTAGCGTTAAAGAATTCTTCAACCAGAATACAATTCTTCATAATAAACATGGTAATCTGATACAACACAGACGAGAACGTTTTCACAGTGCTTTTTAGCGCTAACCTGTACTAGATTTATTGCAGAGGGCAGCTATGTGTTGACTCTAATTGGATTAACTGTTCAGGATTTTCTGGGATTATTAGTCTGGTGGCAGAGATTTCAAACTAGGAATCGCTCAAAGCACGTCGGTGCAACAGTCAGATATACGGAAGATTATGACATCGAGATCCAGTTTTCACCACAAAACAGGAGTGATTAATCACCATCGCGTGGAAACAGTGAGAACCAGGAAGAAGGAACATATCCTGCTGATGTCACCATGTTCTTACAACATGCATGATAACGTTGTTTTCAGACAGAGCTCGATGTTAGCCAGGGGGATTGTTTCCCATCCGTGTCTGTGTTTATGTTTCCAGAATTTAATAACCCTCTCTCGCTCCCCCAATCTCTTCATGTGGAGAAGGAAAAGAAAAACACACCATCTGTAAAAATTTTACTGCATCTTGAGCTCATCCAAATCTCAAAGAGCCAGTGCTGCAACTTTAAATAGGCCGTGCGCAGCAGCGGACACACACATGGGCTTTTATGGGAAGGAACTGGAAAGTTGAGACTCGGAAGGAAAAAAATGGTTGCAGTTTGGATAAATCTGAAATGTTATAGGCAAATCGGGAGACGAGATCTGGCAACTCTGAGCTCAAAACACACTTCACATGTTTTAGAGAAAGATGCCTCTCTGCAACGCAACGCCATCACCCTCAATAAAATAAACAAGTTCAACACAAAATCAAAAAACGACTTCGAGTTTAGGATTGATCACCCCGGACTCTTATCAGCAGAAACTGATGGCAGCTAAAGAAAACAATGTTGATCAATCTTGACGTGAGTTTCTGGAGCCATGGATAAAAAATATTGAATGTTTTGATTCAGATTGACAGAAAAATGTCAGAACCCAGTTTTTATACATTTCATGTCCATTGATCCTTTCACTTTAGATTTATCAAAAAACACAAACAAAACATTCGTTTTATCGCTTCGGGCCAAGATTGGAGAGGACCTGAACATTTCAGTCCAGCTAAATTAAATTCATTTAGAGTCACAAATGTTTTTACAAAAGGACAATGCATAGCTTTAATATCAACCTTCGATTTCTGATTGTAGCAAATTTGTGTGAAATCTGCTTGGCGACATAAATCATGGAATAAATGACAATAAAATGAAATGTTATCTCAATCTGACTCTAGATGTGCATAAAAGTTGTTTGAAAGAAAGAATTAAATATCCCTGAAAAACAGATTAATAATTAAATACCTATGTGATTCATCTCAACCAATCTGGCTCTAAATGTTCATTTATCCTGATGGTGGACGAACTTTTCTGTTTAATATTTTTAATCAATAATGGCTCAACTTTAATGTGCCCAGTTCAGTGATAAATTATAGTCATTAGCTTGCATAGAAAAGCTGCTATTGCAGGTATGAGTGCTTTAATGTCAGCATTAATCATTCAATGAATGAGTCAATAAATGAGCCATAATTGGAAATTTCGGACACATCAGGACATTCTTCAAAAATATGTCGTGGTTGAGCGGATAAATGGTCAGCAGCTTAAATTCATTCATGTTTTACATTAAAGACACTAACTTTGGTCTTAATTAATTCAGCGTTCTGGTTTAGTGGAAATGGTCAATATGGATATCTATGAAATTAGCACAAATGACAAGTGTGCTGCGACAGTGACCCAGATAAAGCCGTCACCACAGGAATAATTCCCCTGAAGGCCGACTGCTGTTCAGTTATGAAGGAAATGGATTTCATCACAGCAACTCATTTCCTACTAGAAGAAAACCTCAAACTGAACAAAAACTCACAAAATAACATTTTTTCTACCTCACATGTTCTTGATGGTAAGAGGATGGCAATTTCTACCAATTAAATGCCGAGTTCAAATTTAAGACTTTTTAAGACCACAATAAATGAAATTTAAGACTTGTATTATGACAAAATGACACAGAATGAATTTGCAAATTATATATAGTAGTGCCAAGCACTTTATGGGTTGGAAACAGAAGTGAGCAAATGGTGAACAGGAACAACCAACTGGTGACAGATGAAAAAAAAAAAAAGCGAGCTCTATAGC